AGTCAACAAATGATAATAAACCAAGGAAAGTCTAACATCTAGGAAATGACTTATCTGACAACCGAAAACTCTCTTAAACTACCCACCATCTAAACTCAGTGATTAACTCTTCCTATTGGTGGTAAATCTCTCAAGTTACTGAAAATACTATGTATTCAAGTACAAAGCGTTTTTAAAGTTAATGAATCAAGAATGAAAAAAGCACAGCAAATTACACTTGCCCAGAAAAACAGAAAACTATGCAGAAACATATTCTGTCGTCAAAGCCTCAAACTTTTCTCCTTCTTACCTACTCTGTGGTATTCGCAGGTGCATTGGTTTCCCATAGGAGTTATCAGGCTGGTTCCACACAATAAAAAGAAGTCCGATAGAAAACGATCCACTGATAAAATTTTAATTTTCTGACTTAACTAAGCTTGAAGTAATGAAAGAGACTGGGTAAAATGTGTAACAAAATAAAAGAAATAATTACTGAAGTCACAAAAACAATTAGAAGAGTGTATTCACAAAGTACAGCACCTTTACTGGAAGAGCTCTCTGCATATCTAGATCTTAGGCGAATGACCCAGAACAATAGGCAACTAGGGAGAAAATAACTTAGTTAATTAGCTCACTGACTCTCTATACACATAAGTATAAAATAAAATTCTGAGAAATTCAAGAAGTAGCAAACATGTGGTATGACTGCATACCACACATGGAAATGTCGATGAATTATCACAAAGATCCTGTATAACTGAAGAAAATAATGTAAACACTATGAAAAGAGGGAAGCAAAAGATAATAAAAGAAAACCAAACATAAATGCAACAAAGCATAAGCCAAGATGTGGCATTTACAAACTGTAAAGAACTAATGTGGTTCAACACTCAGCTGAACAGTGCTTAAGCAGAAGATATGAGTATTGTAGTGCAGAATGATCTACATGGCAGACAGTGGTTCATACAGCACCAAGGTGTACTGGGCACAATGAGAAGGCTTTTGATATCAAAAATGAGAAGATACAATAGACAGAAATTACAGCTTCAGTTAATATTTCCACAGTTACTACAATTTGAAATTCTCCACCATCTCCATAACCTCAAGACAGCTGATCATTTAGGTGTTAAGAAAACACTGGAGATGATAAAAAAATTGCTTATGCTGGATTGGATGCCACAGATCTGTTGAAGATTGGTATAAATCGTGTTAATTATGCTGACAGTGTAAATGTTCGTTTGTTTTGGATACTCATTCAAAGCTCCACAAGGGCTATGAGCACTATCCGTTCCCAATTTTGAATTGATAGACTAGAGGGAAGGTAAGTAGTCAACAGCACCCACTGACAAGTCTTGGGCTACTCTAATCGATTAATGAGATTTGACTTTCATTATCATAATGCTCTCATGGTCTCAAATTACAACAACGTGTCACGAATCACGGACCCTCATATTCACAGTCCAGTACGCTAACCAGTAGGCCGTTGGTGCGCTTTATTCTCTACTACAGAGCAACAAAGTTAATAAGTAAATTTTGGTGGTAGTAAAATATTTCAAGAAATGGCCTGAAAAAATGCTCTTCCTAACAAGGAAGCAGAAACTCTAGAAAGGAAGCTTGTCATTGAATATTTTTCAAGATTTGAGGAACTTATGGAACTTTGTTTGGTTTAGAAACAAAACTCTGAATCAACCTTCTTTGTACAGATATGTTAAACCTTTAGAACTCTAAAAAGCTCAGGAGAATATCCCTTCACCTCTATTCTTTGAGAATGGTGGAGAGACACAATCATATGCTTCTAAATCAATTAGCCATTTATGTGGATGAGCAACAAAAAACGGCTGTTCGAGGTCTACTCCTATTCTTGAGTTAAAACTTGAGTGCATGTAGCTACAGGTAACACACCAGTATCACTGGTATTTGGAAGGGAACTCAGAAGTGTTTTTATGATCAAATAGTACTATGCTCAACAAACCGCACAAGAAATCTTTATCTTTTGTAAACCGTCACATTTCTAAAACGTATCATGGTCATATAGCTTATAAGCCACGAAAAAGTTATTACACCGATGAAAATAGCTCTGTTTTTCATAATATTAAATTACCTGAAAATATAATCAGTTTTGTTCAGACGTTATAGATAATTACCAACATTTGAACCATTTGAACTGCTTAATTTGTAATTATATGCATTAGAAGCCAACATGCTCTGGAGAAAGGTGTATGGAAGGTTTCAAGATATGATGTGTTAAAGTGACCTCGTAATACTTTACAGAAGCTTGTCACAAAAAAAAACTGAGGTGTTTGGCAATAGCATGTAATTATGAACAGAGTGACTGTTCAGCAACATTTCAGTCACTTTTTTTTTGTCCACCAGGTGTACATCAGGTGTCTTATGGAAGTAAAAGATAGAACTGTTTACTATACTAAATTCCTTATATAGTATATATATTTATGCTATATTATTTAATAAATAACGACACGGACTAATAGTTTTGTTCTAGGTTAGAAGCTCATAATTGACATCTCGGTTATGGTTGATATATATAACCATTTTTGAATGCCATCAGGTCAAAGCAGAGGCTTGGTTTTAGAAAAACCTTCTAGGCAGTAATATATGGAAAATCAAAGACAGATATGAAATACTATTTTATGAACATGTGATTTCAATTTAGTATGGAATGTACAAAAAACATCTGAATTCAATCCTGAAATTAATGACTTTTATCAAGCGTAAAGAAATTCACCAGCTGGGGCGTTTTAAACCTCTGCACTAAATATATTGTGGTAAACAAATGATTGTGTTTAAAAATCACTTATTAAAATTCCATGAAGGATTAATTAAACAGAAAAACCACTTAAAAGGAAAAACCATTTCTAATAAGCATGTCTTAATTACTCTTTACATTGGAAGGGATCTAGACAGAATCTTCGGGCTCTCCACTAGGATGACTTACCATTGGCGAAGTATTTTTTTAAGCTAGCCAACCGGTTGTTGTCTCACTGTCATAACGTAATTACAACGATAAACTTTGACTTGGACCACTTGTCCTTCTACCTTGTGTGACTTTGTTTTACTCAGATAAAGTGCTAGAACCTATTGGATGCTATATTGGATAATATAATCATGGCTATCAAACTTTTTACTGAAATGATTTTGGAGCCTCACCACTTTGCTGAAATTCATATCACCATATCCGATCATGCTCTACCTGACGACTGCGCATCTTGACAATAACCCTGCAGCATAATTTCCATTGAATAAGGCTTCGTCGTAAGATTTTCATGTCAAAAGCCAACCACCACTCGCTACATAATCCATAGTCCATCTAATATATGTATGCTCGTACTGACAGCTCGAACACACAGAAATCCATGGGTGCAGCATTCGGTATCTTGACCGGTATTGTCTGTATATGGAAGGGCTGTTACATACCTTTCTTAAAAGCAATCGATGGAATCACAGCCTACAAAATTCCAAACATTGTGAAAATATAATTCTGATTCATAGCTTTCCACCTCGCTTGTATATAAGCTGTGATTGTCACGTGACTTTCTTATTCAAAATCGTTTTAAATATAAATGATCATGTTTGCGCATGTAGCTGAATACAGGCTTTATTCTATACAGTTAATAATAAAGGGTGTCCGGAAATTATGTTAACAGAATTTTTTACTCATCTCTCAAAGACAGGAGCCTGGAACCTCTGCTACAATGTTTAATTGTTAGTAGAATTCCGTTTGCCCAACAGCGGTACATTGTAGCATGTATCAAAGATCATGACAGCGTGATTCGAGCGCGACAGGAATCTTAATATTTCGACACATTCCGAAGCAAATGTTAATAAATTTGTTAACACACCTACCGAACATCATCTGCTTATCGAAAACCGATAAGAAATAAGTTTAAGTCAGATGAAACCGTCAACTCGATTTTGATAAAATACAAATATTTCTCTTCCTGTCTTTTTGTTCTCATGCTAGTTTCTAGATGATTTTCCTCGCTTAGGCTTCAAAAAGCGATAATACTTTGACGTTCAAAGAACAAAACTCAGTGTGACGGATTGTGGATCAATGTTTCGGCTTCCGTTACAATCGGCCCGGCATGG